AAATTTAGGGATTTAAATTTAAATATTGTCGGGCCGGCCCGGTGGCTCACTCGGGAGAGTGCGGTGCTGATAACACCAAGGCCCCGAGTTCGGATCCCATATAGGGATGGCCGGTTCGCTCGCTGGCTGAGCATGGTGCTGACAACACCAAATCAAGGGTTAAGATCCCCTTACCGGTCATCTTTTTTTTTAAAAAAAAAAATAAATAAATTTAAATATTGTCTAGGTTGTTTTTTCTCAACATGGAAGCCATTGCTCAAATGAAATCTGACACTGAGTTCCAACACGATACATAAGACAGACTTGAGGGAGCAGCTCAGGAAGAGAGTGGGGAGCTGCAGAGGTGGCCCTGCATGTCTCCTGCTCTGGAACTGAGTGCTTTCCTGAGCATTTCAAGGTCTGAAGTCAAGTCAGAGCAGGGAAAAGAGAAAGCAGGCCCTTACCTGGAGTCCCACCCATACACTTTCTTATCCTTGCTGCAGATGTCAATCCCCTACTCTAAGTCCTAGAAACACCGTTTCTTCTGTTCCCTTTTGTTGGCTCTGTGACTGGGATAGAGTGCAGAGGTTGGGGCTAAGTGGTAAGTTCATCCTTGCAAAGGCTGAGAGAGCTTCAGGGGCTGCCCAGAGAACATTGTTCACAGGCTGCGAGTTTCATGCTTTTAGTTGACCTTTTTCCCGTAAAGCTCATGCAAGAGGACAGCAGGAGAATCCAAAAAGCAAAAAAGGTGAATAGCAAATCTACACTTAGGAGGGCTGTCTAAGCAGGGAGCTATTTTCTCCAGGCCTTCTAGAATCATTAACTGATTCACATCACAAATCTATACCTAAAGCCAAATGTGTGCAAAACGATATGCTAGGGTGATATCTGGACAGTTGGAACCGATAACTAGCCCTGTTAAAGAGCATTGGAGCTCCCAGGATAGCTGTGTTGTGTTCTGGAGAGGGCAGGATGGTTCTTTTTGTTCCCACAGAAGATAAAAGTCCCCTTTTGCCCTCTCAATTTCCATTGCCAATCTGTCCAAGGCCTAAGGAATACTTTGTCCCTGATCACGATGACTTGTGACCTCTGAGTGCCTTTCCTAATTCCCAGTAGTTTCACTTCCTGGAATGCCACAACCTAACTTTCACATCAGTGCCAGAGGCATGTCTAGGTATTTCTCCTGGATAACTCATAGGTCTGAAGCCTTGAAATCATCTCACACTTTCCCTTCACTCCCACCTTCCACAAGCAGTCCCTAAATCCTGTTGAGTCTATTCTCCATGCTCTCACACAAACTAATCCTCCCCTTTCCATCCCATCACCACTGAAGGCAGCTGATGGGGAATGTTGCTCCCAGCTCCCAGATGGCCTCCCTGATCCATGAATACCCTCACTCACCCCCAGCCCTGACCCATTTCACATACTGCTGTCAGAGACAGCCCCATAAACACATTTCTAGTAACATTACCATCCTATTTGAAACCCTCTCCTGTCCCATCATCTCCAGAAACAGGTCGCTGGCTTGGCATTTGACGTCATCCCAAGACATCCAAGTCACCCCAGGGTGCCCCTGCCTTTCTAGGTGTATCTCCTGCTCCTCTCCCTTGCCTGGCCCGAGCCCACCATGTTCTGACCACACAAGTCCACTCAATGCAGCCCAATCAGCTCCCAAGTTTCCCCCAACTCCAGGTTTTGGCTCCGGCTTTTCTTTCTGTGTTGGATATTCTGTTCACATCTGGGTCCATTTTATCTCTTTTTTTGGGACAGCTCCAATCAGCTCCCAAGTTTCCCCCAACTCCAGGTTTTGGCTCCGGCTTTTCTTTCTGTGTTGGATGTTCTGTTCACATCTGGGTCCATTTTATCTCTTCTTTTGGGACAGCTCCGACCCAAGACCCTTCCTAGACGCCACAGTCAGAAGGCTCCTTGTACTTCCCCATGTTTCCCAGCAGGCTGTTAGTAGATGATGTGCAAGCAAAGCTCCTTCTATCTACATCCAGCCTCATTTATAGTGTGAGATCTCAAAGGCACAGAGTTCTCCTTTTGTATTTTTTTCTTTGGAGGAAAAGAAAAATCAATTTTAATGTTTCATTATAACTTGGACTTCTCAAAGAAGACATTAAATATTAACATAATTTAATGATATTGTTTTACTGTGGCATTTATTAAACCACTGATTTGGGGACAAAATAAATAGCATGGATTTTTAAGGTAGTCAAGATATCAACAGTAATTAACTTGGAATACCAAGAGAAAACCATCGGCAGTGTATTCTACAAAACTCTTGTATGCTGCAGGAAAGTGAAAAGTTACCATCAACTACTTCATATCCTTGGGAGATGTTAAAACAAGACAATATGGTTCTGACTAAAGCAAAAAATCAGGAGGTGATTCTCACTCCTCAGCTACTTTTCAGTCTAAAGCAGAAAGATTTGTATTTTATGCTTAAGAAAATCAAGCTATATTACGGAGGTTCTAAATATCATTAATCAGGTAAAACAGAGAGCTCACAGGGAAGTGCTGCTTAGTGAACGAATGCCACCACAGTCATGTTATGTTGCTGAGATCTTCGAATTTGAGGAATCTGGCTTGAATGTGATTTCCTGGATGCAAAAATTTCCTCAAAATGAGAGAAAAGAATGGAGGCAAGATGTTTTAATATAATTTAGGGGAAAGTTGCACTTTGGGGGCTGAATTATTTATTGATAAATCAATTAGATAGTCTCAATATTTACTGTGTTGGTCTTTTCTAGTTATAAAATTGGATTTTTAAAAAACATTTTATTTGGAAATAATTTTAAACATATAGAAAAGACACAAGTACAGCAACTCTATATCTATGTTTAACATTTATAAGTACATAGTTTCATATTTTTCTGAACCATTTGAGCATAAGTTACAGATGTTGTGTCTCTTTACTCCTTAATTTTACTCCTAAGTGTGTATTTCCTAAGAACAAAAATATTTGCTTATAAAATCACAGTAATCAAATTCAGGAAATCTAATATTGTTTTTAATCTATTCAACAGTCCAATGTTTTTAGTTGTCCTAATAACTTCCTGTAGGACTTTTCTCTCCTCTGGTATGGGATTTGTTCCAATTAAACTCCGTTTACTTGTTATAGAATTCTTGTCTTTTTCACACCTCAAATCTGGTTTTTTTAGCTCAAGATAAGGAATACAAAAATAGGTGAGTAGCATTTTATACTTTTTATTCCTTCAGAGGCCTCACACAGGGGATTTTAGATGCAGAAGGCATTCAATATATAATTTGATTTGCATTTCTTGAGAAAAAACTCAAACTAGAAGGAGAAAGAACATGGTAATATATTTTTACTATAAATGAACCTGGAAAAATTCTGAAAGAAATCAAAGTAGTAGGGCAAAGACTACAGATTAAAGATTAAAAGGGAAGAATTCCACCTATGAATTCACTATGAAATTAGTGTTTCTATCTTTAGTGGAGAGGGTCCTAGAAAAATCTACTGGGTATTATATCCCACCAAATACTTACTGAGCACTCACTGGGTGCTCTGTGAGTCCTTCTAAGGAAAAGCTTCAACTGGAAAAAGGCATGAACCACTGATGGCAGAATTTAGAAGTGGGAAGAAGCCTGCTGCCAGCTCATACACCACTTGTAGCACTGTTCGAATGCCTTCCCACTGAGAGGCAAAGCTGATCCTGGCTAAACCTGCTCTGGAGTAGTATCACTGAGAGATTATTCAAAAACTAGCTTCCTCCTTATATACAGATAAAAACACATAGACCACTATGACTGTGGACTCAAATACCAGAAAGTTCACGGATTCAGGAAGCTTCTAGGGAGTGCACTCTTGCATACCACCTCAGTAAATAGCCCTAGCCACAGAGATAAGGGGCCCTGAATCAGTTACAAACACTGTATGGCTACTTTCTTTCTTATTCTGCTGTCCATTAAGGTGAATTTCTTTGCTCAGCTTGTGACCCCTTGCCTCAAAATGGTGTTCTTACTTCTCACTGGGATGGCTGACCCAGGGATCTTCCCTGACACCCAGCCCCAACCACAGGGAACCTAAGTCCATCAAAGCAGTCACTCTCCCAGATGGCCAGTTGTCCAGAGGTGTGACATTGCTTCTACACCACCTTTCCCCAGTCATTTCCATCCAGCAGCCCGCTTTCTGTCCACACCCAGAGTTCCTCTTTGCTTCCATAGCATTTATGCTCATATACAGACAACTCCAGGGCCCAGAGCTGTAACAGCTCTTACTGTGAATATTAGCTCAGAACTACCCATCTGGGCTACTCTTCTTTTTACTCCCCCTCTGCCTCCTGCGTTAATGTCACCACCAAAAGAGAAGCCAATGCACAAAGAAGAGAAACTTAACTTACATGTAATCATCATCTATTTAGGTTGCATGCAGGAACAAAATGATGGATCTGTGACTTCTGGGTATTGTAATCACAGATAATCAAGATTTAGCCTTACTTAAAATGGATGACAATATAACTAGCAAAGACCAAATTCTGTTAATTAAATTTCTACCTTCAAAAACAATTTTTCTCTATGGGTGGATAGCACGAATTAGCTCCAGTGTTCCAATACACAGTGAGATGATTATGTTTAAAAATAATATATTGTATATTTCAAATTAGCAAGAAGAGAGGATTTTGAAAGTTCTGCCAATTACATGTATTGAAACATCACACTGTATCCCATAAATATGTACAATTATTATGTATCAATTAAAAAAAACCCAATATTATGCAAGACAAAAACCAACAAATTTTCTCTAAGATGTCCTAGAGCAGGGGCCAGCAAACTATGGCTAGCAGACCAAATCTGGGAAGCTGCCTGTTTTTGTAAATAAAGTTTTATTGGAACATAGTTATGCCCATTTGCTTTCCCACTAAAATGGCAGAGTTGAGACAGAGACTAACTGGCCAACAAAGCCTAAAATACTCACTCTCTAGCTCTTTACAGAAAAGTGTGCCATCCCCTGTCTTAGAGCAATATGGCAATGCAAAAGGATAAGAATGAGGTACCTGTTGACTGGCAGGTATTTTCTTGGGACATGGCTGTCGTCACAGTTTCTGTGGCTGCATCTCTGACGGCTTGCTCCTCACTCTGCAGGAGGGTGAGGACACACCTCCAGAGAGCAAGTGTATCCTGCAACTCTAAGAAGACCAAAAGGAATCTGAATTACCTAGAATGCAACCAACAAGCAGGTGCAAATACTGCTCCAAATCCATGGTGGAAGAAGGCAGGACTGAAGAAGCTGAGACATTCCTTTCTTTTTGGGTACTGTAAGGTAGGAAGGCCTCAGAGTCAGACAAGCATTGCAAGAGATAGGGCCTTAAAAGGAAGATTTGGTAATGTCTTTATTTGGGGAGGGTGGCAGGCTTTCTGGGTGTAACCAGCTCCAGGCAGGGCTACCCACCCTGGGCTCCCTACTGTCCCCAGTGAGTCACAATTCTCAAGAATAAAACTTTATGCATTAAGTGCTTTGAGGAAACTAGCCCAGTGCTGACCTGAGTGACTGTTTGAGCTTATAAATTCTGAAAGCAAAGTATCAATCAAGATTATGCTTTGTGAGCAAGAGTCAAAAAAGGGAAAGATCCATGATAAAGGCACCAGTAGAGCTGGCCAATTAGCTCAGCTGGTTGGATAAAGGTGCCAGCCTGTGTCACCCATATGTGGGGTCCATTATCTAACTGCCATCACCCCTAGCACTGACTCTGTCTAGTCACTTGTGCTGGGTGCTGCTGTGGATAATGAACAGGAGAAGACATAGTATCTACTCCTGAGCAACCAAAGGGAATGTAAAGTCCAGAACACAAGACAATGAGTAGTCAGTGAATCTGTGTGGCTATGACTCACAAAAGGCAAAGATCACTATGGAGTGCTATAACTGAGACAGACTTCATGAGGGAAGTGAGTGGTAGGCAGAGCCTCACAGAAAGGATACCTGCTCTACAGGTGAAGTGGGTCCAGGCTTCCAGAGGGTCATCAATGCAGGGACATGAAAGACCACTCACACAGCCTCCCTATCCTTTCAACAGGGAAACAATCCTGTCTTAAGAACTCCCTCTTTTGGGCCAGCCCGGTGGTGCACTGCTACAGTGCGCCGCTTGGGAAGCGCGGCGGCGCTCCCGCCGAGGGTTCGGATCCCACATACAGACTGGTTCCCGCTCACTGGCTGAGCGAGGTGTGGGCGCAGCGCTGAGGGTTGCGATCCCGTGGCCGGTCCCGGTCCGGTACGGGCGCGACACTGAGGGTTGCGATCCGTTGCCAGACACGAAAAAAGACAAAAAGGAGAAAAAAAAAAAAAAAAAGAACTCCCTCTTTCTATCCTCTCCCTCATCTGTCCACAGAGAACCTGATATCACAGACGATTTAGTCATACCAAGAACATTAACGGTTCCATTTGGGGTTTCTTTCTCTTCTTTCTGTTACAGATCTGGCTTTGAATTTTACTTAGTCTTTCAGAACCGATCCTTTCGAATTGTTCTCTAGGGTTTAATATTTCCTTTTTAAATATTTTCCTCTTTCACATGATCATTAATATCCCTAAGATCCTTCCCTCTTTAGTTTGCTTTTTCTTTTTCCTTAAATGACTCGACTTGTCTGCGTGCACTTTTCTGGCCTTCATTTCTACCTATTCAGTACCTATTTTTCATGTTCTTGTAGGCCATCAGTCACCATTGATCTCCTTCCTCATTTCCTATAATGCTATAACCAGCGCCAGTGATTAATTATGAACCAATGGTTTTTGACCAGGACTCAATTCCACATGGGAATCCCAGGTTATCCCACACACATTTTGCCTGTTATGAGCTAGGGTTAGAGCAGCCAAAGTCACCCAGAAAATATGCTGCAAAATGATATTAACCTTACTGGAGAAGCTTGACTAAAGTTTATTAACTTTTGCTCTTTTCCTCTAGATCCAATGATTAAACCATAGTCACAGAAGGTTCCCTCTCAATTCCCCTTTGGGTATAAGAAAAATGTTTGGAAGTCACTAAGAAAAAAGAAGTAGAAGTATATCAAAGAAAACTTTGTTTCCCAGATAAAACCAGGGACACGAAACACTTCATTGGTCTGAAACCTGTAACACTTAAAAGTAGAATCTCACAATCTAAAAAACAATTATTTCCTTTATTCTGTAAATCCATTCTCTACAACTATACTGAAAGTTCCTTGGAGACAGGGACCATGTCTTGTTTTTGAGAGCTGAGCATAGAAGAGGTAAACAAAATCAGAATTCCACCAATGGATGGGAAGAGAATCATAGCACAATAACACGGGATTAAAAATGGCAAGAGAGGGCAGGGTGGGGATAGAGTACGGCTTTAGGTCCTGGGTTTTCCTTTTATTAAACCCAATGTTTAAAAACAAAACAACACAATTTTAAAAATTAAGACAAAACAAAAGCCTCTATGCTTTTCAATTCCTGAGGATTACCTCAAGCTTTGTTTTCGTTAGTGTCAATGGCATGATGCCCTTTCCTAATAATTACTCTTAAAGCACAGGCGGTGGTCAAGAGGAAAGAGACAAGGAGGTAGAGAACATGACTGGAAATCAGCCAAGGTCTGCACATCCATTTAATTTCAAAATATCTTCACTTTTATGTCCTGAAACTTAAAAGTAAATTTGGTGAAAGGAACCAGCAGACTATCAAGTCATTTAAGCCAGAAGCCTGGAAGCCATCCTTAAATCTTCCTTGTTTATCACCCTTAGCACCACCACATCCTGTTGGTTCTCTTTCCTAAAGGTCTTTTGAGCCTGTCCTCTCTTATTCCTTGCTGCCAATTCATTTTGCACCTGGATTACTGCAATAAGCTTCCTGGAAAAGGGGACAGTTAGGCTGAGTCTCGAAAGACAAACAGAAGTCAGTCAGTTTGAGCCTGTCCTCTCTTATTCCTTGCTGCCAATTCATTTTGCACCTGGATTACTGCAATAGGCTTCCTGGAAAAGGGGACAGTTAGGCTGAGTCTCGAAAGACAAACAGAAGTCAGTCAAGCAGCAGTTTGTTTAGAAAACTGTCCCTACTGCTAATGCATAGGTCCTGTGCTGGGGAGTAGTGGATGACGAGGCAGGAGGGACGGGACAGGGACAGAACAGGAAGGGCCTACGAGCCATGTTAAAGGGTGTTTAGATTTTACCCTAAAGGCAAGAGGAGCCCACTTAAGGTTTTAAGCAGGGGATTGAAATGATCAGATTTTCATTTTGGAAAGACCACAGAGCTCTTTGGAAGCTTTGTGGCGAATGGCTTGGGGGATAAGATTGAAAGAAAAGAGGCTAGTTAAGAGACTGCTGTGAAAAATGATTAGAGTATGAACTAAGAGGGCAGGAATATATCCGAAAGATGTAAAAGCATCATTCATGCTGCCAGTTTTCATCTTCTCTTCTTTTTTAGCCTATAGCACCTATTCATGCTTTTAGTGTTTGGTACAATGACCCTCCTGCGTCCCCCGCAGCACACTTACCAAGAATTGGATGAGGGTTGGTGAGGAAAAATGGTGTGGTGCTGGTAAGGACTTCGGCAGCGGCCAGCCTAGACTCTGTGGGAAGATGGTCTCCACAGGACAAGACCACTAGCTGAACCCACTGCTTCAGTTCAGGGGCTATCAAGTCCTTGTTCTGAAAGCACAAAATGTATCTATCAGTAGTTCAGAAGATGCAACCATGGGCTGACATGAAATCAGGGATGACCTACACCAAACTGGGTCTTCAAATTAGCTCTTACTTACCTCAGCGGGAAGAAAGTCTTTTTAGTTGCTTTTCTATCTCAACTATGGAGAAATAAACAGGCCCAAAGAAGAAAATCTTTTTCAGTAATATGGAGTCACTATAACTAGTGAGAAAGTTCCTGAAGTCTTTTCTGATGCAAATCAGGTTATCAGAACACTGGTGTATTTGACAGCTTCAGTAAAGACCAAACTTGTGGGGAAAGACCGTGGCAGCAAATAATTTTTCCCCAATAACCAGATTTTCCTCCTATCTAGAACAGAACCCCAGATTTTTGGCTAGGCCAGTGAGCACCCAGCTACAGACTATATTTCCCAGCCTCCCTTGCATTTAGGAGTAACATGTGATTAGGTTCTGATTAATGGGATGTCATCGGAAGTGGTATCTATGCACTTTAAGGTCATGATTTAGGAAATATCCATGATCTCTTCTTCCTGGATTTCCCCTTCCAGCTAGCTGAGCAAGGACAAGATGGTGGGAGCTGGAGCAACCATCTGGGACCATAAGATGGAAGCCACATGTTGAGGACAGCAGAACAACAAAGTAAAACAACCTGGGGCCCAACACTTTCAAGCCACCATATCTGCTTTGGACTGATTCCATCTGACTTAAGCTACAATATCTGAGTTTCTGTTAAAACATTTAAAGCATCTCCCTAACTAACACAATTGTTTACACAGAGCCCTATTGTTATTTTTAATATTAACAGCTTTATTGAGGTATAATTCACATACCATACAACTCACCCATTTAAAGTGGACAATCAATGGATTTTGGTATAATTATAGATATGTGCAACCCCCACAGTCAATTTTAGAGCATTTTCATCACCACAAAGAGAAACCCTGTACTCTTCAGCTATCACTCCCCTATCCTCCCATCTCCTATCCCTAAACTATCACTAATCTACTTTCTGTCTCTATGAATTTGCCTATTCTGGACATTTCACATAAATGGGATCACACAATAAGTATTTGTGACTGGCTTCTTTCACTTCGCATAATGTTTTCAAGATCTATTCATGCCATATGATGTATCAGTACTTCATTCCTTTTTATGGCCAAATAACACTCCATTGTTTGAATATACCACATTTTGTTTACCAGTTCATCAGTTGATGGACATTTGGATTGTTTCCATCTTTTAAACTCTGTTTTTTCACTTTTTTCTAGAAAAAGGATTGTTGTTCCAGATATACTTTACTTCTCCTATCAACTGAACCTCTCTAAATGTTCAAAATGTGACTACTGATTCCTTTGACCATCTAGGGGAAAAAATGGAACTAAGTTGATGAGCATCTTAGACCTGGAGGAAGATGCTAACTCCCAATATACAAAGAAACCCAGGTTTCCTTTATGTGTTTCTCTACAGTTTTGTTAATTTTTCTCTCCCTGGAAGACTCACAATTTTCATTAAATATCATTGATTCAAGTACCAAGCAGTGTCTGAATGATACACATGACAACTGGTTAAAAACAGCTTTAGGTAAGAATGATGTCTTTGGCAGACTTAGGCTGCCTTGTGACTTTTTCTTAGAACTTGGTGTTTTTTCTCTGGGCTGTAAATTTTTTAGCAAATCACCTCCCTTCCTATACTCCCCACACCCTACTGGACATTTTTGGGGCTCCTAGTGACCTCCTAGGCTGCCTTTGAATGACGGATCCAAGGAAACTGCCTATTAAATCTCAACCTCCGGTTTTATCTCTGCCTAACCCCAGGCTCTCTGAACTTAACAATCTCTTCTATAAAGTCTTCCTCAGCTCCCAAATACTCCTTCCCTTCCCTGGGTTCCCACAGCCTAGGCATACTTCCCTACCTGAGCATTTAACACAATTATCTAATGCTTTCTTTCTCTCATTAGACTATACCTCTAGTCTCTATCTTTGTATCTTTGGTATCTATCTCAGTGGTAGGTTTATTGTAAGGACTCAGAATTGTCAATGTTATGCCTCCACTATCACAATGTGGTAAAGTGGAATCAAGACCTTCAGGTAATTTTATTGTAGTATTGACTGGCTTCTACTTATAATTTTGTTATGGTGGTATCTTTCTTGTATGTACCTAAGAATGCATGTATTTGTCTTAAGGCATCTTCACAGGAAGCTGTTTTGCTTATTTAAGTTCCACATCACTCCCAAAGGTCATGTAAAAAGGGGGTGGGTGGGGGAGCAGCATATCTGGGCCTCCATCCAGAGCCAGCTGGGTCATGTTCTGGGGGAATATTTAAGCCTTTGCAATATATTTTCATACTTAGTTCACTAGGTTGCAATCCTAAATATTCTTGAAATTAACTAGTTTATTCCTCTTTAAATAAAGGGTCTAGCTAGAAAAATGGGGAAAGAACAAGAGATCTCAGCATATGCATGTTGCGGTGGTGTTCAAAAAAGTCTTCACAAGTTAGGCCCAAAGTGAAAAATCAACATGAACAAGGGCCGGCCCAGTGGCTCACTTGGGAGAGTGGTGCTGATAAAACCAAGGCCACGGGTTCGGATCCCTATATAGCAATGGCCGGTTAGCTCACTTGGGAGAGCATGGTGCTGACAACACCAAGCCAAGGGTTAAGATCCCCTTACCAGTCAGCTTTAAATATATATATATATATATATATATATATATAGTAACATGAACAATATTTCTTAGAGGCTACATACACGTCACAGTGATGCTGCCTGCTAGGACAGTGAATCCACTTTTACTAACATCTTTTAGATTAGTAAGAGCACAAAAACCCAGGCCCCAAAACAGAAACAGAATCAGCCTTACCTCCTCATGTGTCTGTATGTGGTGGGCAATCACTTTGGAGGCAAGTTTCAGAGCTACACTCTGAATTTCAGATCTAGGAAAAGTAAGCAAGAAACCAAAAATGAAACAAAAGCAAACACAAAAATAAAATCGAACATTTTACACATAGATGGTTTTTGCAGCTAGTCTGTATTTTATGCAGATGTGAACACTGGACATCTCTACCTCCTGGTATACAAATACCTTCAGAAGTGATTACCTTTTGGTTATTAATGTGAAACTCTGACATCATTCCATTTCTTGAGTTGAGAACATAGCTCCTAGGTTGAGGCTTAGAGAGAAATACAGGACCTGAGCCATTAGGCCAGGACTGTGCACAAGTTCATTACATAGTGACTGAAGGGACCATATATCCTAGCAAGGTTGTACAGGGAGCACTGGGGGCAAACCTTTCATTGGAAGCAATATCCAATGTCCAGATCAAGAATTCCTTTGGGGTTAGATGAACACAGTGCTCCGTCTGGGAAAGCCATTCTCTCGGGCCCATGAAATGGAGAATTTTCAGTATCTGCGTCAGCCAAATGCATGAAAAAAAAAAACCAAAAAAACAAAAAACAAATATTCAGGGAAAAGTCTCCATATGCTAAATAATAATCACTTGCATTGACAAGGGGTCTGTCTTTTAAAAGGCTCCCACTGACTTATTTCCCTGGTAACACTTTTGGGAGACCAAGGCAGGGAAGAGCAATGACAAACCTGAGGACTCCTAGAATTTGGGATGGGAGCTAGATGCTCAGATTCTTAGGCCAGCACCCTTTCCTTTTGATTATGCTTTCCAGGTGGCCATCTGCCCCCAAATAGCCATGTCAGCAAAGACTACCTCTGACACGTTCTACAGCTAATTTTCAATGACCTGTTTCCTAAACATCCCAGAGTGGCTTGCTCTGCCTTTGATTAATCTCTGCTATCAATACCATTATCATCAAAAGCTTTTCTTGGTGCCCCTCTATGCATGAAGCTATGCCAAGTACTATTACCCTCTGTATGTGAAATCTACTTCCTATTGTCCCTGGAGAGCCCCAAACCAATCTTGCCCTCATTATCCTGATGACTCACCAAGAAATGTGAGGAGTGGAAGGGGACGGTCAGTACATCAGAGACTTTACCTTGCAGAAGCATTCTGGGTGATCTTCCTTCATTGCCATCAGCAAGAACTTCTCTCCCATATTGCAGAGCAAGGGTGCCAGTCCCTTCTCTCCTAATCCACAGGTTGCTGATGAGAACTTTTCCAACAGGGCTTCCAGCATCAGCAAGCGTACTTCAGGGAAGGAAGACTCTAACAGCCGAGTGAAGGAGATAGGGACAGCCCTTGTCTGGTCTCCAGCCTTGGCCACCACTGCCCACACTGCAGTGATAGCTAGTTTGGTGAGGCTCTGAAGGTACTGGGGCAAGCCTGGCACCTTGAAGGTACCGGGGAACCCCGTGATAAGCTCTGATCCTGAGATGATCCCTCTGACTTCCTCCCAGAAGCCAAGACTCTCCAGAACTAAAAAAAAGCAAAGGGAAAGAGGTTTATAATTGCTTTATTCAACTTTCCACAAAAGGACACTGGAGAATGGAAGGCTCTGAATACATGGGGTGGGACCATCAAATGCCTTTCCTGAGTAGATTTCAAACAGTGTAGTAAGTGACTAGCCCACTAAGGCTCAGACTTCTGGCCCAGAAACAATTTCTATATAGGTAATAAATAATTTTTCCCCTGGGGGACAAAGGCATTACTATCAGAAGACGCAATCCTGGCATACCTCCTCTACATTCAATAAACATCAACTCAGTGATCTCTTGAATCACTGAGGCTCAAAGTTGACCAGGAGAAAAGGACATCTAGTCCAAACTTCCTTCTGGGGCTCAGATCCCTTCTCTAGTACCTATTGCCAGAGGCTCTTGGTTGAACGTTACAGTAACTTGGATCTCTCGAGATCGCTTATTCCATTGTTAGGAGATGTAACTGTCAAAAAGTTCTTTTTGGAGTTTTCACTTACTGGCCTAATTGTGCATTTTGAGGCTCCCAATGATAGCTTTTTAGGAGTTTGGTTACACTTATTATGCCCCCTCTGTCTTCTCCAGATGAAACACCCCCCACTTCCTTCCCCATATGACAGGGTTCACCTTCTCTCATTATTATAGCTACCTTCCATTAGACATGCCTCACCCTCTCTTACAGCACAGCCCATAGAATGGATCATGACTCTCCTCACGGTTTGACCAGCAGGACTATTACTTTTTCTGTTCTGTACACTAGGTTACTGAAGTTGCATCGCAGTATTGACTTATATGGAGCATAAAGTTAACTGAAACCACAGCACTTCTTTTTTTACATGGTCCACTGATGGTGGTGAGTCATCTTTCTTCCACCTTATACTCAGCACTTGGTCAAGACTTGTTTTCTTTCTTTGTTTTAAACCCAAATATATCCCTGTTAAATTTTTATCTCCCTGTTAAGTTTTATGGTCTGCCTTTTAGTTGCTGAGATCTTTTCATATTCTTAGTTCTGATTTAAAAAAAAACCCTTACTGCCTGAATACTGTGTGCTAAGTGCTGAATAAAATAAGATTATTCCCTTAAAGAATTTATAGTCTAGTTTGAGAAAGAGAAATGCATGAACGGATAATTCTAATATAGTGGTAATGATAAATGATAATCCAAGTCTCAATGGAGAAGAGAGGTGAGAATATGTTGGAATCACCAAGGACAGAAGAACCACCTGGGCAAAGGTTCAAAAGCGTGAAACAGAATGGACAATGCAGGAAACTACAGGCTATCTGATATCACTACAGCATAAAATTCGAGGCGGGGAACAGTGGGAGATGAGGCTAGAGAAGGAATGTGGCCAGGACTCAGAGAACCTCCTAGACTACGTGAAGGAGCCTGGACATTCCTCTGTAGGCAGGGGAATGCCACTAAGGGGTTATTTTAAGTAATAGGGTCAGGAGCACTTTTCCATTCAAGTGCTGTTACTGCTGAGGGGGCACTAGTAGAGACAGAGAGACCAGTTAAAAGACTACTGCAGTAGTCCAAGAGAAAAATGATAGGGGCCTAAAGTAAGGAAGGGATAGGGAGAAGGTAGATTTGAGATGCACTGAAGGAATAAAATTGGCCGGGGGTGTGAGGGAGGGGGTGGACATGACTCTGGTGAGAAGTCTTAGGTACCTCCCAGGACCCAATTCTTCATACAACACATTCATCATGCAATGGAAGTTGGGTAAACCTCAATTTCACAGGCATGCCATAAACACCCACAATCAAATAATTATTAAAAATGTTCACTGGAACAGGCGGAGAACAGAGGCCTCCGGCGAATGTTACAGCTGGCTCCCTGCCCTCCCCTGAATCCGACCTCCCTCTAAGCTCTCACCAATTAACTAGCCCTCTTTGGTTCTAGCTATCCCCTAGTTATGAATCCTCCTAACTGTACCATTCTGTCCATAGAATTTTATCTACAAAAACATCAGGACAGACTTCTTCAACTGCCTTGCTAAAACTGAGATGTTATGTTTATAGCATTCTCTGATGAACCCCAACTAATAATTCTACCCAACAAGTTAATGATCCTGGAGTGGTTTACCAGAGAACATTTAAGTTATAAGCATTTTATAGCTTATGAAGCACTGTTTATATTCATCATCTCATAATAACTCAGTGAACCCTGCTGACTATGGAAATGTAAAAGATTAAGGTAACACTTGGAAAAACACTTGAAATTGAAAAATCGCATAGGCTTGCAATAATCCAGGAATTAAAAATACAGAATATTCATGTAACACATCAAACTGTTTCAAAAAGAAGTTTTCCCCAGGAGGTGAAGTGGAGACTGGACTCAGGCTCCAATATGGCAGGTATGGGGATATGAACCCTTGACTTTGGTGTTTATCAGCACCACGCTCTACTGAGTGAGCAAACTTGTCAGCCCATAGGGAAACTCCAGGCAGTCGCGATCCTCAACCTTAGTGTCAACACTATTTTCAATGCCTAAAAACCTAATTCCATTACAAGTTAGTAATGAGGAGATCACACTACTCTGGTCTCTAAATAACCCACAGCTGCCTGTATTTAAATAGAATTTCAGGCTGGCCAGTTAGCTTAGTTGTTAGAGTGCAGACTTATAATACCAAGATCATGGGTTTGGATCCCCACACTGGCCAGGCACCAAAAAAAAAAAAAAAAAGGAATCCCATTTGTTTGGCAAAGAGTCAGAAATATGGCTCAGAGATCTGTTCTTAAAAACATAATTAAAAATAGGAAGAAATGCCAAGGTCATTCTGGATAATTTTCATAGGCACCTGTTATCTGAGAGAAATATTCCAGGCAGAGTGTATAGTTCTCTGATTCAAGAGCTGGGTAGCCAGGCCCACTTGCTTCCTCTGCGGTGTTTAGGAGGGATGGTATCATCAAGTAGCCAGGGACCGAAGACACTACCCCAAAAAGAGGGAGATGGGGAACATGCTCAGGAAGGGTTTTCCTTTGGGACTTCTTGACCTGTGTTGCCTGTGTACTTCAGTATAATTCCGCAAACATTATTGAGCATATATTAGGTACTTTGGGAAATATAGTGATTCAGAGTTGAGAAAGAAAACGATACATTGTCTCAGGCTAGGGCTCAGACCCGTCAAACCCGTTGTACAGACTGGGTCACCAGACCCCTCACGTGCAGGTTGTGAGCTAGGTAATTGGGAAAGATCCTGGCAGCTGTTGGCAGAGTTGACAGGTTCATTCCAATGTGAGCTCAGCAGCCGCAGCAGTAGCAGCTTATAGCAGCCTCCAGCCACAGTGGAGGTAGCCTCCTGGTGCATCCCAGGGCCCCTGGCAGCAACACCTTGCAGCAGCAGTAGTGGCCTCCCCGTACCCCACCCCCCAGGGGTGTCAGAAAGGATGGGGGCAGGAGGCACTGTGAATAACTGCTGTTTGTCCTTTATACTTAAGTCCGATAACCCATGACACCTGGGAATGAGTCAGACAACCCGGGAACACCTGGGTGTCCATGCACATCTACATCAGACAATAGCCAAGGAACACCTGGGCGCACATGCAGTTATCATATTTACATCAAATGCTCAGCAAGATTCCGAACCCCCCAAGGGAGACTGACCATTTCATTTCACTTTCCCTATACACTGTCAGAGTTTCATCACCAATAGGAGGATAAAGAACAAGTACAAAATAATAATAAGATAATCATAAAAATTGTAAAATGCTCGGTGTCCTAAAATTGTTAGGATTAAAAGCTGACATCTGTTGAGTACTTATGTGCCAAGCTCTATTCTGTTATTATAGAATACTATATACCCATTATTTAATGCTACAAAGAAAAATTACTTTTAGAATTGACATTTGTTGAGTATTATTCTAAGCACTTTAACAAGTATTAACTCATCAACGAGAAAGGTTTTATTATTATTATTCTCATTTTACAGAGGAGGAAACAGGTTAAGTTATTGCCCAAAGTCACAAAGACAACAAAAAAGCCATAAGAAAGACCAAAATGAATGCAATGAGTACTTATTTTCTTCAGAAAGAAGTTAAAAAAGGGTTTTCAGGAGGGAACAAAATTTAAAATGGGCCATAAAGGCTGCCCAGGTGCCTGACTAGGAGAGGAAAGAAAAGGGCAAATACTCCAGGGAGAGTTAGGAGAGAACAGACACAGAGAGGACTTCAACTAGGTTCACTGAATTCATGTGTCAGCAGAGGAGCAGTAAGAGAGGTTAGGTCTGAGCTACAAGGTGGAAAATTATCAAATGACTTGCATTTAGGCACTTTCTCCAAACTGCTGCTAGGAAAAAATATTTTCTGTTGTGCAGCAATGATGACCCAAAGAGATGCCCTAAAGCAGAGCTTCTCAAACTTAAGCATGTATCAGAATGCCTTGGAGAATTTGTTAAACCACAGACTGCTGCCTGCGTCTCACTCCAGAGTTTCTGATTGAGGAGGTCTGGCTGAGATTTTGCATTTCTAACAAGCTTACAGGTGATGCTGCTGCTGCTGCTCCAGGTATTTTGAAAACCACTGCCCTCAAGTGAAGGTTATTACTGCTATTAAAAACACACGACTGAATTCCACTCTTGCAGATCCTGATTCAATTGACTTTGAGTTGGGCACAGACAACGGTAATCTTAAGAAGCTGGCAACGGGCTGGCTGGTTCACTCAGTTGGTTACAGCACGGTGTTAAAACACCAAGGTCAAGGGTTCGGATCTGTAAGTAGGCTCCTGGCCCAACTAGCCACATTAAAAAAAAAAAAAAAAAAAAAAGCTGGCAGGTAGTTCTGTTATGCACCCCAGCTAAGAATCACACTCCTCTTAAAAACGTAATTAAAAATAGGAAGAACTACCAAGGCCATTTTGGATAATTTTCATAGGCACCTGTTATCTGAGAGAAATATTCCAGGCAGAGTGTAGTGCACTGACTCAAGAGCTGTGCAGCCAGGCCCACTTGCTTCCTCTGGGGCACTGAGGAGGGATGGTATCACCAAGAAGCCAGGACTGAAGAAACT